AATGATCACGAAGATCCCCCAACGAGTGGACACGGGGATCTCATTCTACCAAGCCGACATGGTCGACGACCGCATTCTCCTCGACATGGATGCCCTCAGGCTTCGAGGACATATTCAAAGGAAAGGATGGGATTGGGTCTTCAAGGGGAGCGATGGGCTAACACGATGCATCATGCTCCCATGCGAGCAAATCGAGACGTTCACGCCCACCACCCTTCGACTGGACTTCCTTGACATTGTGCCAGCTCGGATAAGAGTTGGAAGGGAAGAACGATTGATCCCTCAACGTCGAGCTCCACTCCCGATCCTCTATTAGATCTTATACTGCAAAAGCTAGAGAGCTTTGATACTCGGCTCTCTGCGGTTAAGGCACTCGGGACCCGACTCGAGGAGTCTATGGAGGACCAGATGGACACCCTCGAAGCCACACTCACCGCATCCATCGAGAGTTCCCAGCGCGAGATTATACGGACCGTAGAGCGGATCATAGATGGTGAAGATTCGGACGCTGGAGGATCAGCTCAGGGGAGTGAGACCGAGGGCTCTTCCGCATCCAGGGCCAGCAAGGGGAGCAAGAGGACAACCCCTTGATTCGATCACCTCTAGGATAGAATGCTTTATATTCCCCGTGGAACTATGTTTTGATGTGTTTAGAACTCTTAACTTATGTTCCCTCTTTTGAATCTTTGGGCGCTTATATATGATGTTTCGACGTGTTTAAAAGTTGTCAATCTTGTCGGACATCACTTTTATGCAGCGTTTCCTCGAATATCGGTTCGGAAAATTTTCTTACAGACATAATGGGCGGATCACTCGGTTTTTCGAGCGGTCGCCCACTTGTCGACGATGAGAAACGAGCGGTCGCTCGCCATTACAGGCGGACCACCCGTTTCTCCCGAACCCCATTTTTTGAGCGGCCGCTTAAGCTGTCGCGTATCATAATCTCATCGACTTATCAAAACGAGCGGTCGCTCGCCTTTCCAGGCGGCCCGCCCGTTTTCTCTGACAAATTTCCGATATTTGTAGTTGTTCCAGATGGATTCCAGCAACCGTAGGAGGAGGACACGAAAATACATTTCAGACACAATACCGGAGTTACAAGACTTCAAGCCACAAAATGCCCACTTTTTAAGTCTTGTGGATGAAATCCGTGTTGATGCCGAACAAGAACATGCGGATCCAATTCCGTTTCAACCCCAATCCAACGAGGAGACGATCCTTCTATACCAAATCCATCAGAGGGGGATTAAGGCTTCAAAATTCGTATACCATGGCATTCGACCAAAGCAACTCTATGAGAGGATCGAGGGTATATTCCAACTCGCCGGATGGGAACGTCTATTCCGCGCCAACCCCCGCACATACCATTCATTGACAACGGAATTCGCGTGCATTTCCAATGTTTCATCCCAAGGAATGACGATCCTCGCAGTAGCTACATCGGATTCCGTTTAGAAGGGCATCAATACTATCTCAAGATGGAGCAACTCGCTCAAATTTTGGGTGTTCAAGCGGGTAGCACGGCAACAATCCCGAAGATAACAATCGCCAAGGCTAGAAACTTTTGGACACAAATAGCGGCTGCACCCTTCACCCCTTGGCAACTCGAAGCCTTCATGATACGACATCCCGCAGTCCGCTACCTTCAGCAATTCATGGCATCCACCCTATTTGCACGCGAGGATACACAAACCGTCTGTTGGTTATAATGCTCTAGGATGATCCATGATATGACATTTGACTTTGTATTGATTCATTGATTTATGAATGCATTATTTTTCCGTTATACGATTAGCATGTTTGTTGTATTTCGGCATCCTTGAATCATTAGAGAATGATTCTAAACTCCCTAGTCAGTCATCATTGTGGGAACAATGTTGAATCAAGACTAGCATGAGGTGTGATCAATGCATTGGATGTAGATCACAATCATGGGTACTCGTTGTGAACGAGTGACTGGATGACCCGCATGAGATTGTCACATGGACAGAGTCATGACTTGAATCTCACACAGCGTTTCGTTTATGGATCCTCATACCTGAGATGTCTAGAGTATCTGATATGAGGAGTGGGGTGTCTTGACTGCGTCAAACGTCGTCTTTAACCGGATGATTATAACGGCGTTGATCAGATACGTTCACGAATCATATGGAGATAGTAGACATGCAATATGGGACTTGTCACCTCCTTAACAGGAGAGATATCGCTGGGCCCTCTCGTGGAAGTCGGACTATGAAAACGCGTGGCCACGCTATAGATGAAGTTGCATCTATTTTACTAGTCGGTTTGCCAAGGCGAAAAAACAGTTGAACTTGAAGGGTGGCTCAAACCATGCCCTTGTTCAACATATGATATCGTGAGACAAAGGATCAGAATTCGAGCTGTTAATGCCTCGGTTAGATCACCTCTAACTCAATTCTAAGTGGGTGGTCATGGCGTTTTGCTAGAGGCTAACCATGACTTGTGGTTCGGGAAAGGGTCCTAAAGTCACTAACCCTTAGAATG